TTTATTAAACTATTATTACTTTCCAAACTTTTATTTTTAATAATTTCACTATTAGCGAAATCAGAAAGCTCTCTACTAGTTGGTCTTTCTGATGGATCCATATCCCAACGCCTCTGCATTATTTGCAAATAATCTTCAGGCATTTCAGATAATATTGGTGGTCGTAAACCTTCACATATATCAAAAATCAAACTATGATTGTGAGCTCTATCATCAAATGGTGGATGTCCTGCAAATATTTCCCACATTAACATCCCAACACTATAAACATCTGACTCTTTTTGCCTCTAAGTAGCTCGGGTGCAACATATGATACAATTCCATAGACTTTATTTGATGACTTTTCATCAACTGGTCCACATAATCCAAAATCTGTAATATAACAATTACCTCCATCTATTAATATATTACCACCATCTAAGTCACAATGGATTAAATCTTTTTCATGTATATCATCTAATGCATAACATAAATAATAAAAAGTTGTAATTCTGTCTTTTAATGTTAAATGATTGTTTTGCAAATAATCCCTTAAATTTCCCTCTGGAGTATAATTTAAAATTATTGCATGATTTCCATTATCTGGGAATTTAGTAATACCATGGCATTTAACAATCAATGTGATTTAATTTTACAATAATTCACTGCCTGAAAATAAATATAAAACCAATTAGTATTTATTATATAATACAGTATTTTTTTAAATGACAACTACCAACCTCATCAAAAAAGCCTTTTCCTGGATTACTTGAATTGTTTAAACTTTTTAATACTAGATTTTGCCCTCCAAAATAACTAAATTCCTTTTATTTTCATCATAATCATTAATAGCTCCTCTTGTCCATGTAGTAATAAAAATTGAACTAAATCCACCTTCTGTCAACTTTGTTACTTTTTCAAATTGTTCAAAAGGTATCCATTCTAAAATAAAGTTTGGTAGAGATGATTTCATTTGACATTGTTGAATAAAATCATCAATTATGTTATTCCCAGATGTCCAAGTGGTGAAAAGACTCTGTAATTGCAAACTAATACAACCTTCACAGAATCTATCAGAGTATTTTGTCAATTTACACTTTTGCATTCTTTTGGTTTGCCTTCTTTATATGTTGCATTCTTTAATTCAAACTCATAATTGAACTCTTCCTTACAATATTCTAGATTTTTCCAATGCAACCTTCTGAGTGATTATAAACGACTTTGTAAGGAACACTTTGATACAACTATTACTGTTGAGTTTGCTTTATTCTGCGCGTTAGTTGGAAGAAAATCTTAATGTGAAAAAAAGTAACCCTTGCAGTTGGGCGTAGAATAACAAATAAATAAGCTAGACTCCTATTTTAATGGTCGTTAGGAAGCCCTAGTCTGGCTCTAAAAATTTTATTATGATTGAAAAAGTCACTTGTTAAAACGAATTTTTTTTTAAAACATTACACACATTAAATCATAGTGCATAGAACCGACCAATCAAATCGCAAAGGGACAGACATTTGAATTTTAGTAATATAGATGTTTATTATAACTATTATCTTCTAAAATCTCCTTAACCTCATTATCTAGATTATTAGCAAGTTCATCTCGCCATTTCCTATTAGTTGGTTCTGCAATCCATACTTGTGGAAATTTGAGAAAATAATCATGATCAGCTTGATATTTTGTTTTATCAAATTTAAAATCATCAAGCCATTGGAAGTAAGTGCATTTTGGTCGTGCACCTGGTATCTATATAAATTAATATAATAATGGATTTTTTTCAAAATCTACCTATGCATATATGCTTCATGTATATGCATTAATACTTACATTGTAATGTGCACAAGCCATGTACCAACGTCCCTTATTGTGGGATTTAACAACTCTCGTCAAGAATATGTTTCTTTTACAATAGCATTTTGGAATAAATGGTATATTGATAGCAAAGTTATTTACAGTTTTAAAATATATACAAAATGTCAAGTTGAAGAAAGGACATGCGCCGAGATCACGATGATCCTTGTTCAAATTTTTTGCTCTACATAATTCATCCCAAACTGGTTCATGTACATGAAAAACACATATTTTATTTTCTGAATTTGATTCACAAATATTCTTGTTATCATTACCATAAGTTTCTGTAGCAGTAGCGATAAGTGAAGTGGATGGCATGGATGACACAGTTGAAATAGAAGTAGAAGGTGCAACGGTTGAAGTGGACGATGGCTCATTCAAAGCATGTGAAGTAGATCTAGGAATAGTTGCAGCAAATAGAGCAGATTGAGTAGTTAGAATGGATAATGCTTTTGAAATGGTCGGTAATTCGAATAGATTGAAATTTGCAGTTGAAGACAAATGAGTAGCAGGAAGAGTTTGAGTGGTTTGTGCAGTTGGACTGTATGAAGGATTTTCCTAAATAAAATAAACCTTTAAGTTTAATAACTATAAATGCAATTTCTTAAAGGTCGTGAATATTAAGGATCGTGTATTTACCTTTCCTGAAGTTTTAGTCAAGTTGCAAGTTGTATTATACATGGACCTTTTATATTCTAGTAAGGCACCAGAAGACCAGGGGTTTGCATGTTTAACATAATGACAGTCATAAATAAGAGTTCTAGTAATTTCAGATAGACGAACAGATGCTGTCTTGTTGCAAAAACATCTTGGAATGTAATAAATGCTTGGGGTATCTCTTTCCATTTTTTTTTTTGAAAAATGCGTCTAAACTATATATTATTATTATTATTGGTTATATTAATATATAAAAAAAGCCCCACCATTTGTCGTGTTACTGTTACTTTCTAAACTCGTAATAGTGATTTTTGCATATAACCCGCCCGATACTTCTTAATGTTAATGACATATACCAATCGTTTGTTAATATTATGATAAAGAATCTTATGACAATTACGCGATGATAAATTCGCTCGCTTCACATTTACGTATGATGTTTGGGCTATTGTATTAAAAAAAAATATGTTAATGAAAGAAAAACCTCTGGTTATTGTTAACAAACAATATATTTCCTTTAGAACAATGCTTTTGAATATTTTTTTTAACAAATGCCAATCCTTTTCACCTGGCGCGTCCAAATAAAAATAGGCGTTTGTGCGACACTATGTGTCATAAATAAATATTTACGTGTCTGTTCGCCTCTTTTTTTTTCCCCATTAAAATTTTTTTATTTTGAAAAAAAAAAAATATATATCTGAGTAATTATCAAAGAAGAGAAGAAAAAGCAAAACAGAAATTGTCAAGAACGTGTGTAAGTAATATCAGAGCGAGATGGAGATTTAAAAATTATTCTAGTTACTATTAAAAAATGTCTGATTATCTACTTCTATCACATATCACGAATTAATTATGTTATAATAAATTGTCCTCCAGAAGTAACTGATTATATCCAAGAATTTCATACCTGTTGGTTGAATTAATGCAATAATATCCTCGTCTTTTTATTAGAACTTGACATGGTTAAAGATAGAAAGTAGAATTGTTGGGTGATCGACCATTTTTTAAACCGAATTTTATCATTATAAGGCGAATTTTAAAACCTGTTTAGGATCATATTCGGCTTAGAAAGTTATATTTTTATTATTTTGTACAAACCATTAAGTTCGGTTTATCAAGTAAAGTAGAAATTATAATAAAATTCGGTTTAACGAAATAATTTTTATTAAATATGATTTGGTTAACCAATTTTGCATCGTTATAAAGTGAAAATCGGTTTATAGCAGTTCGGTTTATCGAGGTTCGGACTGTAGTCCCCTACCCAAAATTATAATTGGTTAGTATCAGAGAAACAGAGCATTTAGGAAAATGATTATACAAACAAACACTATTTTACAATTTTTCTTCTAACATCAGAGTCCAAATGCAATTTCAGGGCCACAATCCCTGCTCTGAATTGTAACCTCCTACGCTTGAAATGAGTTGCAGATTCTCTTGATATTCCTCCAGAGTTGCCGATATCCTGGTCACGGAGCCAGCCTTATCCTAGAGTAGGATCGTTGCAGGCGACTTTTCAGCTATATAGCATCCCAGCAGCCTTCTCTGGTCTGGGAAGATTAGTAAAAGTGTCATTGACGATTGTAAACTCCAGAGCAGAGCAATCCCCCCTGGGATTTAATTGCATCGGGGAGGCAAGTCAGATTAGCCTTTGTACATGAGGAATACATGAGAATGACTGTAAAGTAATTTTTGTTTTCTTTTGTCTAGTTTATTGGTTAAACTAGAGTGATGACGAGTGGAGATAACCACCACCACCGATAAACACTTGTGTTGTTCTTTTTCTTTTTCTGCTCTTCTTTTTAGTTGGCGTGGCATTGTTTACAGTCTACTCTCTCTATAACGACCCTCTCTATAACGAACTTCCCTTTTGTCCCCGTTTCAATTTTTTATAATTAATTTCTCTCTCTATAACAACCATCTTAATAAACTCTCTCTATAATGACCAAAAGCAGAGAAATTACATATAGGGACGGAGGGTTCGTTATAGAGAGAGTGAACTGTATATGTTAAAAAAAATGGATCAGCACTAATTATTTATTATTGGCACTTGGTGTTGTACAGATTTTTTTTTTGTTATTTTTTTTTCTTGGAAAAACAATTTATTTTTCAATGACAAAACATGAGTCTCCTAAAGAAGACGTGTTAATGACAGAGGTGCTTTTTTTTATTTGTCTTGATATATATATTTAATTTATAAGTATTTTAATTGGAATCAAAACGTGGAGCAGATCATTTCTGGGTAATTATAAGATGATAAATGAACGATTGGTATTTTGCTTTTCGTAATCGTTAATAGTATTAATAACGTTAATATTAAATATATAATTACAAGATGTCAAGGCAGCACACTGACTGTTATAGAAAAAACAGTTCAAATATGCGACATTTGATTATCGGAAATTAGTAGACATTGAAGCACACACGCTACCTTGAACGGTGATGGATCTGCTAAATGGACTAGCTTAATTCATAACGGTGTCTGTTTTCCTACAGAATACGTTCCTCACAATGTTAATATGAAATATAATGGTATGCATTAACTTTTTTTAACATGCATACATTTGGAAATATTATTGTTGTTGTTGTTGTTATAATTTTTAACTATATTTATAAATTTTTTATAATAATCATTGTTGATTTCTTTTTTCAAAGGGCTTGAAATCAAACTCACTCCAGAAGCTGAAGAAGTAGCTACATTTTATGCTGCATTATTAAACACGGATTATGTAAAGAATGATACTTTCAACGAAAACTTCTTTAAAGATTGGCAAGTTATCTTGGAAGAATCTGAAGAAAATCCACTAATTGAGGATTTTGAAAAATGTGATTTTACCTTCTATATATGATTATTTACAAGAAGAAAAGGAACAAAGAAAGAATTTTTCAAAAGAGGAAAAACAAAGGTTGAAAGATGAAAAGACCAGAGTTGATGAATTTTATGGTTATCGTTACTTAGATGGATGTAAAGAAAAAGTTGGTAATTTTAGAATTGAGCCACCTGGTTTTGTTTAGAGGTCGTGGTGTTCATCCTAAAACTGGTTCATTGAAGTCAAGAGTCACCCTCAAGCAAATAACAAATAATATCAGTAAATATGCACTTATCCCTCCTCCACCTGCTGGGGTGGTATTCTACTTGATAACACAGTTACCTGGCTCACCACCTGGAAGGAAAATGTAAATGACAGTAGAAAATATGTGTTTTTAGCAGCCAATAGCTCACTTAAAGGTCAAAGTGACTTGAAAAAATTTGAAAAAGCTAGGGAGCTTGATAAACACATAGAAAAAAATTTGCTGTGATTTAAAATATAGACTCTGTTCAGTTTGTCAATGTGCTACAGCTATGTGTCTTATTGACAGGCTTGCACTAAGAGCAGGAAATGAAAAAACTGGTGAAGAAGCGGTCAGACGTGGAAGAGGAATGGATAATCGAGCATGAGAAACAATTGATGGAAAAAGAACATTTGGCAATTATGAAAAAATTCAAAAGAGATAATGACTTTTGTTAAAAATCTTAGTAATCAGCACTTCATACCTATTGGACCACGCAAAAGAAATACATGGGTCTAAAATGAAAAGCTTACAGAAGAAGGGAAACCACATAAACCTGAAGACCATCTTAAACAATTATTAAAGAACATCAACGAAAAAGAGAGAGAGTTGAAGAATGAATGGAAATCTGGCAAAGTCAATCTTAAAAGGGACAAATAAATGAAAAACTCCGGAGTCAAATAGAAAAATTGGCAGAATGTATCAAAACCACCAAATTGTAGAAACAAGATAAAGAAGACAATATGGCAACTGCAAAAAGTATAAGTAAAAAATTACAAAAAAAAAAATCATATCCGAATTCAAGGGTTGAAGTTTTATTTATAAATTTTGTTTTTGCAAATAAGATTGTAATTGCATCTTTATTTTTACTACAAAAACTACCATTTAATCATTTCAAATTCCTTTAATATTAAAAAAAAAAGGTCTTTGAGCTAAAAAGAAAAATAACATGACAAGAGAAAGTATTGTTTTTTTAAAATGGTGGTTGTGCGCATTTTTGTCATTCTAGTTACAAATTAAAACTATTGTTTTATTATTACATTTAATAAAATCAAATTGTCTTTACATACATATGAGTTGTGTTAAATTGATATTTTTGACTTTTGAAATTAACTACGTGTAATCATATTATTGATAATGTGTTTGAGCTGTCTTTAGTGTCTGAGTTTGAAGCAGTACTTAGAATGACCTTTACATAGCACACAAAACAGGGTTTTTTTTTGTTTTCTATTTTCATCACTTTTAAATCTTCAAAGAATGCTGAAATTCTTTTACTGTTGAATCACAATAAATCAATCTAGAGTTTGGTGACGATGAAGTTGTTCTTTAAATAATGCAATTTTCGCTTTTCCTTATCGTTAGAGAAAAATTTAATGTTGTACAAAAAATTTTTTTACGCGTTATTCAGTTCTCCTCAAAGAAAAACTAGTATGCAAAGTTGCGGGAATCTCAGTGATAAGAGTGAATCTTATTATTTCGACTGTGGACATTGTGGAATTGAGATAACAGCACAGATTGTCATAAAAATATCCATCACGAAATTCAAGACAAACTCACACATTTATGTAGGTGATTTGTTTTGCCATTATCTAAAACTTTTTATTATTGAATATAATTAATATTGTGCAACTAACATCATCATCCACCTTATGCAAATTTCAAATTAAAAGTTTACCATAAAAAATATCTAAACACCTTTCTAAGTTTACAATATGTTAATTTTTTTATTTTTTTATAATGATTCGATTATTGCTGCCATTTCATTCACTTGACGTATATATTCCTTTGCAGGTACCAGTTCACAAGTGTTTTCATCAATGTAACATATCTTATCTGGATAGAATAGGTGATTCGTAAGACCTTCTGTCAGGTCATCTCCCATATACTTCATACTACCATCCATTTCATTCCATTTAAGAGCATACCATTATCATCCAACATCCAAACATCATACCCCAGAAAAGATATTGCATAAATTTGAATGCGTATATAAATCTTATCCATATTCATTGAAGTACTCCAAAACAATAATGAATACATTTGGAATAGATAAGTCACATAAATGCATTAACAATAGACCCCTGCACTATTTGATTATCCTCACGAAAGAAATTTTTAGGCATAACTCCTCATAAGATAATTCGTTCTAATGGTTATGACTATATTTATTCTGAAAGCTGGGCAGAATCTAAACAGAGCCTACTAGAATATGGATCATATGATCGTGTTGTAGATTTGCCAAGACAACGTAATTACAGATTGCTGGGATGTGGATCCATCAAAAAGACCAACTAGTAGAGAGCCTTTTGATTTTGCTGAAAATAAATTATTAAAAATAATGATAATAATACCACTAGTGGCGGTAGTAATGCGCACACAAATCACATCCAGATTGCATATCGTACAAGTAGGATATTAGATGAAGAGATTGCTAAATTTAAAAGCTTAAAAATTTATGCAAGTAATGATAGTTCGTTGAATAATCTTGGTTTCTCTAGAAAAAGTAAATAAAAATTTTATTATTTAATTAATTGGAAATTACTATCTATTAATTATTACTAATAATATAATAATAGTAAAAGGAAAGATGCAATGAATCTTCACTATAAATTTATTATTATCTTTTTATTTTATTCTTATTTTATTCTTATCTTGTAACAATATTTTGAAATAACAAACTTTTACAATTTTTAATTCTTGTTAAATGGTGATATTGCGAGGTATCATTTCGGTTAATTAACGATTTTATGGCTTAACTTTTGTGTTACGCTTGTCAGTTAATTCACAATAATTCGGTGCTTGTCAATTAATTAGTTTACAAATTTACTCTTTCTTGCACCTAGACGAATCTGTGAGCACACTTAATGGCACCAGATAACTGTAAATAAATAAAGATGCCCTTTTGCAATGTTATAAAGTTTCTTTACATTCATTGACCGGTTGCAAACTCGCTTTGGCTTACTTTATCAAATAACTTAAGCAAGCTTGTTTAACAGTCTTATGTTTACGATTACAATAATACTACCAGTATTTTCAGGACGATACTTCATTAATACCCACTAGTTAACTAACGTTAATCCTAACCTTCCTTTGCTCACTCACCAAAACAAATTACGTTACTAATTGTTGTTAACACTCACTAGTTAACCAACGTTAGTCATAAAGTTGCTTGCTTGCTCACTAAAGCAAATAGACAATTGTTGCCTTTTAACAAGACGCTAACTACACCTGTTGCTTTTATCAAAATGCTTTAAACAAAGAAAATAAAGACATTAAAGTTATTAATGGTTAATTTTATAATGATCTATCAGAGTTTTATTTATTAGAATGTTAATTATTCTCTGCTTAGACCAGAATTTATCCTTAATGAAATTTTCATTGATCACTACAATAAGGATAAAGATTAAAGATGAGATTATTATCAAAAAATTACTGTGTGAATAATTATTATAAAAGCTTTTATAATATCAATATTGATTGATTAAGTAAGTTACTTTGCAATAATAATTAATTATAAAAAGTTTTTACGTAAAATTTTCATACCAAAATTAGTCAACCCTAGAACCGAATCCCTAATCAATGATTTTATCTACCCCGATCATGTATCGCATTATAAATGAACTGAATTTGTATTCATCAAAGAAAAACTTGACTCTTTGGGAACAACTGATGAAACAAGGGAGAGATTGAATGCACCTTGGAATATACATTTACAAGTTTTTTATGTTTTATTAGCCTTTAAAGTAATTTTACTTGCGACATTTTTGAATTAATTGCAGCGAATTTGACGTAATAGATTTACAAGTTTGGTAAATTTTCGTCAAAGAACATTAGGACGGTCACTTTTTTCATTTCATCAAGTCTTAATTTAATATTTTAAAATACAAGAGCATAAAACCATCAATTAATTACCTCTTGACGATACATCAACGTGAGTTGTGAACGAGTTCCCTCAAGTCGCAAAAAAAAAAAAAATGCAAGTGTCTGAAAACTTGCAAATGATTCAAGCATAAATTACATCAATTGAAGAGAAATCACGTGACATCAAATCAAAGATTTCTGGTGTTATCACTGTCAATCAAAACAAATTAAACCACACAATTTAATTGGCCGATCAAATATATACGAATCGATTATCAATCAAAATAATAATACTAATAGTTTTTAACATATCCTTTGTGGATGGCCATTTACAGTATGTATTATCAACAAAAAATATTGCTCCCCAGGTGTATATCCCGAGAAGCAATATTTCATTACAATTAAAAATACACAAAGCTGCACTTGTATAGGTTAGAAGTAGAAAGTGGGGATTATGTAATAGATGTATGCGATAATCATACTATAGTAGACAACTTCTTTAATGAAAAAAATTGGATATCAATATGCACTCGTGGCTAAAGACATAGTTGAAAATTTGATACAGCGGTTAATATTCAGATACTAATATTACATAGTTTCATTGCAAGAACCACCAATCCATCAAAGAAACATTCATTAAAGCCAAACTAGATATCTTGTCGTCGAAATTATTAATGAAGCTAATTATAATAGCACAGTACATCTGTAGCAACAGTGCTGATGATAATGATGAGGATGGAAATATCAAACAAAATAAATAAACTTTGGGATTTTATTCAAATGACTATATAACGTAGAATATGTGTATCACCAGAAGTTGGGAAGATATTTTGCAAAATAACAGTCAGTGTAATTGATTTTTACATACAGAGTATCAATGGGGGATTGAACTACTAATGATGGTGCTATTAACGTAAAAAAGCATCAAATGACATCATTCGTCTAGTCTTCCAAAGAAAACATGACAAAAGTTAGAAGCTAAACCACCCATACCAGGAATTTACTGGGTGTAACCTCACTTTTCTTAACAATTACCAGATGATGCGGTTTTATCAAAAAATTATTAAACAACAAAAATACCGTTAGATCAGATGAGATGTACTTTCGGATAGAATGAAAAACCATTATAATAATAATTACAATAGTCAAACAAAAAATAATTAGTATATATTAATCAAAAATAAATTCAAGTTGAATCTAGTGTTACGCTTACTTTGAGCTAAATTGCAGTTGGTTTCATTCAAGCAATATAAAATGGTTATTCGAATAGATCTTTCATCAAAACAAAACAAAAAAAATGGATAGAAATATCGTATATTAATATACAATGTGATAAATAAATATAACAGGATCTAGTGGGGCTCGCACTTAACTTAGATGACAATAATAATTTTCAAAGTAGAGCAATAATAATAAACAAATGGTGCCATGGATTAGTTTATGCAAAACTTTTAAAAATATGTCATCCGAGACAAATTTGCGTTTGATATTTAGATATATTTTTGAAAAAGAGGCTTGCCAAATAAGGGCCAGAAAGTTTAAGGTTTAAATTCACGTCAACTCAACTTTGTTCAATGGAATTCCTATTTCGAAGAAAGTGATATGGGCATATTTCATAAAAATATTTATCGTCTTGGAAGTTCGATATCTCACTAATCAAAACTTTCATGAATGCAATCGTAAAAAAAAAATAGAAAAAATAAAGAAGTATCACGAAGATCAATCAACCTGCTTGTAGAGAGTGAACAAGGAAGTATCTTATAACACAAAAGTTAATTCACTGCTCACATTTTCCAAAATAAACATGACAAGCAAATATTAATAGATATTATAGAGGTTTTCTATAATATAGAGTGACATTAAATTCTGTGACGTGTGATGCATTAAAATAAACAACAGAACAAAACGATATCGTATATATATATATATGGCCATTCAAGAGTATTATATGACTATAATATTCTCAGAATCTGATGATACAGGAGAGATTGAAAACACAATTCAACATGGACGAAAAGCATATCGATCAAGACATTTATAACAATGTACAAATATTGAATAATAAAATAACAATAGTACCGATAACCTGCTGTTACAATTACTAAAGTGAAATTAATGTGGAAGAAAAATACTTGATGTGGCTTAGAAACTCAATTAGAATACTGAATTGATTATTAATATTAATAAGATTCATTTATATTTTGAGCCGTAGAATTAGTTGGGTTAGTATTAGCTGATCAGTTAAATACTGGCTGCAATTTCCATCGATCAATCGATCAATCAAGTCGTCGGTCAGTCTTTTTTTCTTTTAAAAAAGTAGGGGGGGGGGAGTAATACAAATTATTATCATTCTTTGTATATATATATTAGTATATTATTAAATAAATTTATTAGTACAGTTTAATATAAAAAAATATTTTTATTTTTATCAATATAAATATATATCCAATCAGAATCAAAATTTAGGTGGGAATTTTCAATTAAGGAAATCTAACCATAAATATTTTACTTATCATTCTTCCCATCAAACATTATTGTAAAAAAATTTTTTTTTATTATTTTTTAACCTAATTTCAAAAAAAAAAAAAATATTAAATTTATAATCATTCATACCTTTGTATAAGTAAAATATTGAAATATGACTTGTAATGCTAGAACAACGTGTTGTGATGCTGCCGTAAATACAGAACTCAAGACATATATCGATACTGCTGTCAATACAGAGATAATAACTTATGATTCTGTAGGAGTTCAAACCGACCGTATTGATATCATTGCGCTAATTTTAGAACAAAAGGATTCTCTTGATCTAGACCATTTGATTAAAGTCATAATGGAAATACAACAACAAAGCAAAGCCAACGTTGATGCTACTAACATCGATACAACAACAATCACGACAAAAACCATTACCACATTCGAAGATACTGAAAATCTTGAAGAAACCATGCCTGTATCATCATCATCACAAGAAGAATATAATTTAACTGATGATATTGTTAATAAAGAAACTCAAACAAACACCATCATATATACTACCACCACTAGCAAAGAAATCTACTCTGAATTTTCAACATTATCACAGACTTCTTCTAACACTAATGATTTGAAAGGTGTCGTTCATTCATCCATTATAGTATCATGTTTATTGAATTCCTATGAAAATAAATAAATAATAAATTTATTTTTTTTCTGATTTATAGAAGAGGATAAGTTGGTTTTCGATGAAATTAATATTACTGATGAAATGAACATAGAGATCAATGATGGAACAAGCGAATCTATTACTGGCGAAATAAGTACAGGAATGAATGATGAAACTATCACTGGTGAAATAATTAATAACCCGAATGAAGTTATTATTCCTGATACAAATAATGAAATAATTAATAAGCTGAATGAAATTATTATTCCTGATACAAATATTGAAATAATTAATGAGCCGAACGAAGTTATTATTCCTGATACAAATGATGAAATAATTAATACCCCAGAAGCTATTATTGTTGATACAAATAGTGAAATACTTGATAAATCAAATGAACTTATTATTGCTGATACAGATGATGAGATAATTTATAAATCAAATGAACTTATTATTGCTGATACAGATAATGAAATAATTTATAAAACAAGTGAAATTATTATTGCCGATACAAACAATGAAATAATTGATAAATCAGAAGTTGTCATTGCTGATACAAATAATGGAATAGTTGATGAACTAGAAGTTATTATTGCTGACACAAATAGTGGAATACTTGATGAATTAGAAGTTGTCATTGCTAATACAAATAGCGTAATAATTGATAAATCAAATGAACTTATTATTACTGATACAAATAATGAAGTAATTGATAAATCAAATGAAGTTATTATGGCTGACACAAACAGTGAAATGGTTGAGAAGTCAAATGAAGTTATTATTGATGATGTAAATAGGGAAATAATTGATAAACCAAGTGAAATTATTACGGATGATACAAATAGTCAAATAACTGATAAGCCAAGTGAAATTATTATTAATGATATGGATAGTAAAATAATTGATAAACCAAGTGAAATTATTACAACTGATACAAACAATGAACTAATTGATGGACCAAGTAGCATTATTACTAATGATATGAATAATGAAACGATTGATAAACCAAGTGGCTATATTGCTGATGAAACGAGTAATGAAAAGATTTGTGAAACGAGTGACAATATTGCTGGTGATACCCGTGCTGAAATGATTGATAACTCGATTGGTGATTTAACTGATAATTGGGGTAGTAATAATTTTAGTGTTGATAATTGGGGCAATAATAATGGTGATAATTGGGGTAATAATAATTTTATTGATGATAATTGGGGTAATAATAATTTTATTGGTGGTGAAATGAGTAATAAAAGTATTGGTAACCAAGGTGGTGTTGAACCTAGCTCGTTAACCGTTGTTACGAATAACAACATTGAAGGTTTATCTAATGTTACCGAAAAAATAGATGAAGGATTTGATGGCAATCAAGCATCACATTCAAATGACATAAGTGAAGAAGGATCGGGTTCGAATTTAATGATGGGAATTGATGAAAGTGAGCCGATGATTAAAGAAGGACCAGGTTCATCTTTGGCGATGAAAGATAATGAAATTGTCTCGACTGATGAAAATATTGCCACAACTCCTCGATCGAATAAGTCATCATCTCAAAGTAATAGCAATGATGGATGGGGTCCGGCTGATAAATTTGATGACAATAATAGTTGGAATTGGGAGTCCCAATCAGCAGCTTATGAGAAAGAATTTGAAACAAAAAGTTATAACAACTATAAAGCTAGTGACGATGTTAATGCAAGTGATGGTTATTATAACAATGATAGATATAAGACTAGCGATAGTGCTAATGGTTATTATAAAAATGATAGATATAAGACTAACGATAATAATAATAGCTATTATAACAATGATAGATATAAGTCTAACGATAATAATAATGGCTATTATAACAATGATAGATATAAGACTAACGATAATAATAATGGCTATTATAACAATGATAGATACAATACTAACGATAATACCAATAGTTATCATAACAATGGTAGATATAAGGCTATCGATAATGCAAGTGATGGTAATTACAATAATGATAGAAATGAAGATTGGAAAAAGAAAGCTGCGGAATTTGAAGCAGAATTACGAGGAACCGATTATTACAACAATAAAAATAATAGTAATTATGTAGAATCCAATCACTATCATCATAAATCTAATAACAACTACAACCAACATAAAAATTCTAATTATTATAACAACGACTATAGAAATCAATTTCAAAGAGGTGAATCTAGCAAAAATGCAAACAACAATAATAGAGATGGTAATAATGTCAGAAGAAACAATAATCGAGAATCATACAGTGGTAGAACAGAAGATAATATAAATTCATTCAATAAAAATTACAATCACAATTACAGCCATAATTTCAATCCCAATAACAATTATAACAACTACAATCACAATCCAAGCTATAATCATAACAATCGCAATAATAAAAATTACAATCAAAATCCCAACCATATCCAAGTTAATCGTGGTCGTAGTTACAATCATAATGGTAATTTAAACGGAAGCCCTAAATTTACTAAACCAACTACAGGTTATCAATCACCTCATGAAAATAATAATAATAATAGTAATAATAGGGTTTCCGACACCTTTAATGATATTGATTATAATAGTTGGGGTTCGAACAATCAAAAGAATAAAAATCGTTATTACGATCACAACAATTATAATAATAACATCACTGGTAGAAACTCTGATTCCTGGAAAAAACAAAGAGAACGTGTTAGTGTTGGTAGTAACACTAGTGAAGAGGAATCTGGTAGCAATGCAAATTACAGTCGTGTAAACACTTTTTATGATTCTGCCGATTCCAAATCTAAATCAAGTGAACAAGATAACGATTCTAAATCAAATATTTGCAGAAATTGTGGTTTGTTATGTCACACTACTTGTGATTGCAAGAAATATGAATAAATGATAATAAATCTATTTTTGAAATTTACCAATTGATTTTTATCAATTTTAAAAGTTTAGATGTAAGACTTATTATGATGGTAGTGTTAATGATAACATAACATAATAATAATTTGCTTAGAAAAAAATTTGTAATTTATTTTTAATAATAATTATTTACATTGGGTTAAAAAATAACTTTTCACCCTCACTTCTAGCTGGACTATAATGAATAATTAATTATATATATATACATATCAATAAATTTTTTATTACTTATTTCACTAAATTTTTTCTTAAATTTAGACAATTGTCCACTTTCATCAGTCAAATGACCTGAAACAAATGATTCAGGGTTCCATAATGGATGATTACAAGTATTTCGTATTAATTTAATTAATGGTTTAGGTGATGTTGTCCGCATTCGTAAAAAAACAATTTGTTGTGTGAATGATTCTTTTCTTGATTTTTCCTGCTAGAGTAATGATTAAGTTGGATAAATTGTTTGTTGTTTTGATTGATAATAATGGTGACAGTAATAATGACGGAAAAGATGACAATGAGAATGTGTATTTGATGGTGTTGAAGGAATCATTTTAAAATGTATTATTTTTCGATATTCAAGCTTCAACGATTCGAAAAACCATGAATTCATTAATAAATCCATTACAAATATTTTGTAACTAGAAATTATGTTAGAAATTTAAAAGCATTCAATTATTCATTATGATTTTTTTAAATCAAAATAATTATAAAGAAATCTCATTTTCAAGTACTAATAATATCAAGACGAGTTGCAACTCGTGGCACATGACTTGGAATTTATTTGTAGACAAGACAAAAGAAAATTATTAATTCAACTAAAATACATAAATAACTTATAAAAGCACAAGTTAAGAGTCATTATTATCGCCATCACTATATTATTTATTAAACTACATCTTTCTTTCTTTCTCTCTTTATTAATATAGTTTCTATTAAAGAGGCATGGGACAAAACAGAAATTTAATGGTATCCTATACCAATTGGAATCGTTAGTTATGAACATGAAAAAAAAAGTAAAAGGGAGGAAGAGATTGTTTATGATTTTAATATTTCATTGAGAACTATTTATTGGTCCATGCAAGTATGTTAAACTTTTTGTTTTTATTTGATTTTAAGTTAAATTAAAAAAGAAAGTTTTTAATATAGGTGCTATAAATGCACTCCTCTACGAGCAAATATCAAGGGATATAGATAGAACTAAATAATGAAATACAGTTTTACCTGTTTGGGGTTAGAGTTCCATTGCAATGTCATGTCCAATCAAAATTTACATTGTTGGATTCTTTCGTTTTCTCGCAAAAATTCTTTTGTTAAAATATTATCGGAACTTTCCCCGTATACCACCACCAAAAATAATGCGACCTTTTATATCTGCTATACATGTCATTTTAAGATGCATATATTAATATATACTCTTTAACACAAAAGTGTAGGTCCATAAAAAGATCCGATTTAGAATTATGCATACCTCATCCAACCCCCAAATCACAAATATGATCTCTTTCATAAATAAATATTTTTCTCGTCACATAATTTTTTTGCTTTCATTAATCTATCGTTCAAAGCAGCCTTTTTTTCCGTATACTTTGAAATTTTTATTTTATAATCATCAATGTTTTTGTATTTTGTTATTTGGGAAAAGGTAAAGATTTCGATACTGTTTTTCTATTTCAGAATAAAGATGTCTCACTGTCCTTAGTAAATATTGACGTTATCAGTCTCAATAAAATTCTTCTTTACGATATTTATCAAAAAATTTATGTGGTAATAAAAAGGTACTATTATTATTATTAAATTGAGAATTTCAACCGGATTTTTGACAATTTCGAGCTAAAAGGCAGATCATCTAATCTACAGCATTGACGAGGGTAATAGCAGTCAACCCTGGTTGGATTTGAACCGCCTTTAAAAAATTTTTTTTAAAGGCGACAATTATTAAAAGTATTTCTAACAACAAACATCTTGAAATTTTAACAAAAATCACGTTTAAAAAAATGAGCGCTCACGCTATTCAGTATTCATCATTCATCGTTGAATGTATTTCTATAAAACGCTTTTACTTTCGTGAAACAGCCAAATCCTTTTTTGTAAATATAAAATTTAATATATTTATTGATGATCGTTCTCGAAATATACAGTTTAGACAATTTCGTTATATCTTATTGTCAACAATATCAGAAATTTGATTAGGAAGTAACAAAACTCTTGACATCATTAATCTTTTTGAGGGATTTCTTTCTTTATCCGCCACATATTCCAATAGTCCTCTTGAGTGTAAAAACTCATATTCTGCTAAAACAATATGTTCTTTTAATAATATGTTATTGCTTGTATGACCTCTAACATAATCGTAGCAAGCATCATAAACTATCTCAAAATTAAAAGTGTCACGATCACGAAGAAGAATTAATGATTTTATGGCAATTAATATCCAAATTTGTGTTTGAGACAAATCTATTCCAAATATATAATATATAAATAAATACAATAAATAAAAAACATTGCGAAATTTCAAAAAAAATTTTATAATATATATAAATTACCTTGTAGAATATCATTAATTTTAATTCCATAATCTAAATCAGATTGAATAAAATTTTCCAACACAAGGAAAGGCGAATCAATCGATAGTTTACACACCGGATCAAACTAATTCCATAATTACAATTAATTAATAAAAATAATCTTTTTTAAATAATAATAATAATAATTTAAAAATACTTGCGCATATTTTATAAAAACTTCTTATAACATCAGCTGAAAAATCAAATATCTGTTTTATAATCTTTTTAAAAGGTTCAGTTTTCAATAATTCCTATAAATATATTTATTTATTTATTTATATCTTGATATTAATAATAGTGATAAAAAAAATGATTTTTTATTTATATGTTTTAATATAGACTTACTTGAACTTTATCATTAAACACGTTGCAATAATTTGCATCAGGAATTAATGAATTATCAATTTTTAATAAATTTTTGATTAATTCTTTAAAGTCTTCAATGGTTTCAAGACGATTCAAATTAATATAAGGACGAGTAATATGTGGCAATTCTAAAAAAATTTTCTGATTTCATATTATCGTAAAAATAAAATTATCATTCAAAATAAATAATATAATAATAATATAATAACAATAATGATAATGATGATTACTGCGTTATTTGTTATTCCAATTAAAGACACCGAACAACTCTTGCTAAATACAATACCCAATAAATTATTAATAAATTTATCGGTACAATGTTTCTTCAACTCTTCAAAATTATAAATTATAAATATTAAAGGTTTTGTGACAAATTCTCCATGATCTAAATCAGCTATTATTTTTTCTGCATCCTATATTATTTTAATTATAATAAAATTAATATTTATAATAATTTAATGATATTATTTATTAATAATAATATATGCATGTTAAATTCTCTACTCACAACACCTTTTTCAACAATTCCTAGTTGGCGTACTATATGTCTATAAACTGAAGATTGGGTTGTTTGAATTAATCCATTTAGTTTTATACAAATATAATCATCTTTATAAATCTTTTCTAATTCATATATTGCTTTCTTAACTATCTACATAAAACAAGAAAACATTATTAAATTATACTTTATTTTCATTTTAATTTTAAAAACTAAAAGATTTTACCGTTTTCTTTCCCGATCCAATAGGACCCGTTATAATGGAAGAGCTATTCTCTTTGTTTGTAATGGTTCGTTGCAAACACACATAAAGTTCTCTATCAAAAAGTATGATAAGTAAATATTTACTTGCAAATTTACAATCATGTATTTTTTATGGTTTATATCATATATTTACTGGTAATGTTGTTCTAAACCTATCAACTTCTCTGGGATAAAATTTTCCGATAATCTCTCTTTTAAAATTTTACGCGTAAGATCAATAGCATTATTTGAAAGTTTTGTTTTTTTTCTCGTGTTCATTATTATTATTATTATTATTATTATTATTCGTTATATTCGTGTTTATTTTTTATTATTATATGATTATTTGATCTGTAATTTAATTGGCTAATTCATTTATACTCATTTTTTTTGATCTATTTTTTTTTGTTTTATTAAAAAATCACTCAAAATGAAAGATAATATAATTGCTAAAGAATTAAATAAAAATGAAGGCAAAAACCGTTATAAAGTAAATTATAAATATATTTTTTTTTGTTATGAATAATAAGCAAGCCTAAATGTGTAAATTATATATATATATATATTCCAGTATCAATCCTTTAAAACTCGCGTAGAAAATTTAAAGATTGATGTATCACATAGTAACAAAAAGACTCTTGAAAAAGAATTACCAGAGGTATTTTTTTTTTTACTCACATCATTTATAAAGCAGTCACTCAATCAATAATCAAATAAAAAATCTAATATATTTTCAAAATTCTAGGGTATTGGTACTTACTTTGGAGAATCTTTAGAATCATGGAAAGAACTCAACCTTACATTACATTTCAAAGCATTTACTCGTGAAATTTCAAATTATTGTCAATCATTGCCTCAACTATTATATCATAAAGAAAAGATTGTAGAAATCTTGGAGAAACATCTTAAAGTGGAAAATAGTCTTGCTTTAGAGCCATTATTGGAGTAAATTATTTTATATTAGACTTATAAAATATTTATTCTTTATTTTATTTTTTTTCCAAAAAAGGCTAATTTTTTTAAACGTATACTTAGTCTTGTTACGAAATTTGCAAGAGATTTAGAACTTGATTTTTATCCTTTTTTTGAAAGAATAATCACGGTCATTTTACCTCTTACAAAACATAGAAATGTTGAAACGTTAGAGGTTTGATTTATTGATATGATTATAATTTCTTTCTATTTCTAAAAATTAACCTCTAACCATTATATTATTATTATTACATGATAGTGGACATTTAATTGCATTGCATATTTATTTAAATATTTATTAAAACAAGTGACTGATAATTTATGTTCTACCTTTAAGTATGTATTATAGCCAATTACTTGATTAATCAATGAAAAAATTTATTTAAAATATTGATTTATTTTAGGTTGATGGCTCCTTTATTAGGCAAAGAATATCAAAAACCTTATATACAACATTTTGCTGCTGAAGCATTTGCTTATTTATTGCGCAAGGCTCAAGATGATAAACTCACTAATATAATAAGATTCATTATTGATTCAGCCAACGCATCTCCAAATGATGTTTACTATGAAGGTTTAAGCATGTTATTTTGTGAAACAATCAAGGTACATTCGTATTAATATTTAGATTAAACAAATCAATTTAGGTAATTATTAAATTAAATAATTTTTTTTTAGTCTTCAGAGAATAAAATCCGTTCAAAGGGCACGATACTGCTAAGAGAATTATTAGATGTTTGTCATCAAGATTTAATGAGATTTGATAATGCTGGTATGGAAGTTTGAGGTGAAAATTAGAAATATGTCTAATAAAATAGTCCGATAACCAATTTTTACATTTATAAAATTTATTTACATCCATTAGAAAAATATCCGTGCCATATTATTTTCACAAAGACAACAATTGCTATTCTTCATCATAGTAAAAAAGAAAGTTTCGTGCCGATTCTAAATTTATATTTGAATAGATTGGAAACCCTGATTAAGAATTTTGACGAAAATTATTATAATCTTGATGGAGGAAATGTAAATGGCAACATTTCAAGAATGGATGATATCTCTGAAATAGGGATGGTTTTGTCATATATTTACGTTTGTTTAACAGTTCGAAAGGGTAGTCGTATTAATGGTAAGTTAAAAATTATTTTATTAATCTTATCAAGATAATATATTCGAGATTTTTATATCCATTCATATAATTTATTCATTAATTGATTTTTATATATAGACTTCAAATCAATTTTCATTATATTAATACAACTTTCAAAAATCAGATTCATTTCATCTACAAAAAAATCCAATAATTGGGATTTTTTTCAAAATCAATACTTTAAAACATGCGCGGCTTTGATCACTTTATCAAATTTCAGTGATGTTTTAGTTTCGGGAAAAACCTTATTAGATAAAATATTTGAATATAACGTATGCTTGTATATAAATTTTTTTTCTTTTTCAATATAAAATTATTAATATAATAGAATTCGATTCAAATTTTTATTTTAGGACGTTGAACATGTATTGGCTTTTTATCTGGAACTAGCTAATAATAATTGGGAACATTATACAAAAATTATGACTCCATATATTGTTCGGTAAGTAATAATAAAAAGGACTTTGAGATGAATTAATATTTGTTTATTGATTGACTGATTGATTAATTTAATTTTTTTTTTAATTAGTTATTGTTCAAAGCACTGGATGTCACATTCATCAAAAATTATAATCTTTCTTTCCTATTTATTTTCCACAAAAGACTTTTCAATTTCTCCAGGAACAATTTCATCTTATATAACAAAAGATAATTTAATAAATTTCCCTAATATTTATGTAGAGAAAAAAATTGATGATAGCAATACTGAAGAAACCCATAATCCTGCAGATGAATTGTTGAAATTAATCCAACAAAATCATGATTGGGTTACTGAAGTAGAAAAGTTTAGTATGCTTGACTTGGATTTGGTTAGTAGTATATACAAAAATTATCTACTCGAATGTTATTTATAATCTTTTTAATATATATAATAATAATATAATCCTTTTTATGTTATATTTTAGGAATCTGATCAAGTTCCATTACTGGCACTTATCTCGGCATCTTTAACAATTTTAAAGCATGTTTCTGCTCCAAAACAAGTTTTATATGATTCATTGGTGTCGCTAATTAAGAATTTGGTTAATTGCCTTCAGTTGTCTGATAATTTATTTTCCCCATTACTAAAAAGACCAGTCACCAACGGATCTCCCTTTTACATTATTCAATATTTATTGGGTCAAGCAATTGAATTATTGGTAGAGACTTGTTGTACTTCTGAGAATGATTTAAGTGATTTATGGGATATTATGATTAATGATATATTGATAGGATATGGAACTAATGAAGTTATATTACGTGGGATTATGAAATATTTAGAATTTTTACGGAAACAGTAAGATTTTTTTTAATTTTTATTTATAATTTCATTTTATCAAAAAATAAATATTCATATCAATTAATTTTAATTAGTTCAAATAAGAATAAAACTAGGTTTAGCACTGATTCTTTACAAAAAATCTACCCACATATTAAGCATAATATTTCCTCTCGTACCCATCACAAACGACTATACACATTAAAAATATTAAATCTATTCGATCAATTTGATCTTAAGCCTGTAGAAGGAAATAGAGGAGGAAATAACATAACAGGATTGTGTCATATTTTTGATTTAGCCCTCCATGTTGAAGAGGTTGAAACTACATTTTCATCGTATCGTGAAAAAATAATTCAACTCCAAAGACTAGGAACTTTAGCATCTACTAAGCAAATTCCTGATTTTTATTCTGAAGTGATTCCGTTATTATGTTTAGGTATTGCATTGTTTAATTTGATTATTTAAATTTTTTGACATTACAAACATTAAATATACATATGTATTATTGTCATAGGCTTATTTACAATAAATTTTAGCGCGATATGGACTGAAGCAACGAATCTTCTAATCACAGTTGCTCAAGTTGACCCAAAGATTTTTTGGAGTATTATTTATAATGAAATTTCTAAATTTAATGAGGAAACCATTTTTTTCAATCCTGGATTTTCAGAAAAAGTTATTGGAATCTATAATAACAATAACAACAATAAGGAGGCAAATTTATATTTCAATAAAGATTTTATTAAAAATTGTGTTATGCTTTTTGTCACGGTTTGTAAAATGTTCTTTATATTAACCATTTAATGTTTAAAACATTTCAATATTCCAATGTTTTAATGTGCTAATATTTATATACTTGTTAGGTTTGTGATCCGGAACAAGAAAGATTTGACCACTGGAATTATTATAATCTTTTGATTAAAACCCTTATTGAAGTACCCCATATTGTCGAGCAACATTCAAAACAGTTTGTACCCTTTTTCCTCCAGTTTACCAAGTCAGAATACGATGACGTTTTGGATGATGATGGTGATGGTGGTGATGATGATGATGATGAAACTTCTGATGGCAATAAAAAAGAAGATTTGCAAAACAAAAGTTCAGTTCAGGTTCCACAAAACACTAAAAAGAAATTGATGCTTTTTTTACAACTTTTTTCCAAATTCAAAAATCCCAAAGCAGTATTTAAGTCAAGTCAATTACAAAGTAACTACTTGAGATTATTAACTTTAGGTGATGCTAAAATTCAAGCACTAGCTTTAGATTGCATATTTTCATGGAAACATAAAGGAATTGTTCCCTATAAAGATAATATTAAGAATTTAGTTGACGAGACAAAATTTAGGGATGAACTATCCACATTCTCTTTAAGTAAAGACAATAGCACCATTGAGTTTGCACACAGAGCTGAAGTTATGCCTATAATTATTAGAATTTTATATGGTAGAATGATAGATAGGAAGGGAAAAACATCTTCTAAGACTGGTATGGGTGCTCGTAGAGTTGCTGTATTATCAGCATTAATAAATTGTCAGGAATCTGAACTAAGATTTTTGATAGATTTGCTATTAGAACCTTTCACTGATTTGGACTTGGGAAGGCACGTTCCATTTAGAAAACAAATTGGATATTTGCAATTTCTAGATGACATACTAAAGCAGTTGGGATCTTATCTATTACCATTTATCTCCGACATGTTCAAAGTAGTATTATATATTATTCATGATTCCCAAAAATTTTTAAACACCAATGAAAGTTATCAAGATATTAATAATAATCAAGTTCAAAAATACAAAGCTTTAAGACAACAAGGCATTAAAAGAATCACAGGTTTCTTCAAATTACATGTATCATTTAATTATCAAATATTCCTTAATGCCATGTTTGAAGATTTTATCAATTCAAGAATTCCAAAACTAAACGTTGAAAGCACTCAAGCACCTTCTGCCTTAATGGAACTATTTGCAGTATGGTCATCACGAAAAGAATACTTGCCGTTTTTGGTTAACTATAACAATGAGGTATTACCAAAAATTTTTGCATGTCTTTCTGCTAAAAAAGTTCGTGATTCTGTTGTTTCAATTGTTTTGGATATCATTGAAAACATTCTAAAGATATGTGAAGATGAAATGAATAATAACACTGCTATCGATGACAATGAAGGAACTCAACGGTTAGAAAATGCATTAACCAACAAAGTATTGTTACCTCATATTTCATCGCTTTTGGATAATTTGGAATATTCTCTTTTGAAATCAAGCCAGAATACGACATTGGGAAAAGACGCATTTTCCAAAAGAGAAATTATAATATTATCGAAAATTGCGGCATTTGTAAATAATGGTGACCAAGCAAGGAAATTGGTGGATCTTTTATTACCAAATACTCGCAAGTCTTCTCAAATTATTAATGAAGAGATTAAAGCAAATATTTTACAAATCATTATCAACTTTTTACCTATCATACCCGGATTCATACCTCACACAGAGCTATTTACCAACTACTATAATTATATTTCACACGAGTTTCAATTTTTGTCTTCACGAAAGTGTAGAATTCTTTTGGTTAAAATACTTTTGGAATTTTCAAAATTAGATCATTCTTTAATTGAAGTTGTAAAAATTATTGACGATCTTAATTCATATTCGGAAAAAAGATTGGATGAACCTGATTTTGGAAAGAGGTTGGATGCTTTTAGCAGAATCAATCAAGAGCTATACAAAAACTTCAATACAATGCAATGGCTACCATTACTTCACAATTTTTTGTTTTTCATACAAGATCCAGAGGAGTTTTCAATCAGAAATAATTCATCATTTTGTTTAACAAAATTTATCGATTCCGTAAATGAATCGATAAATCCAACCAGTGATGACGAGAAATTAAAACAAGAACAATTACAAAATCTTTTGATTCACGTGATTTATCCTTCAATCAAAAAAGGAATGAGATTGTCTAATGAGTTGATTCGGGTTGAATTTCTTACAATCTTATCTTATACTGTAAAAAAATGTTCAACGATTCCTCAATTTTCGGATATGAGTTGTCTTTTGTTTGATGATGAAGAAGCGAATTTCTTCAATAATATTCACCATATACAAATACATCGACGTATCCGCGCACTTAAAAGATTTTCAAATGAATGTATTGCTGGAAATTTAACAAGTCGAAGTCTGGTACAAATATTTTCACCACTCATCAGTCATTTCATATTTGAATCAGATAGAATAAGTGATCATTTACTCATTAATGAGACTATAGCTGCATTAGGCGCAATTGCAAGTCAGCTTCCATGGGGCCATTATTATTCACTTTTAAAATATTATATGAGATTGATTCCAAGAAAAACAGCATTAGAAAAGGTCTTGGTTAGAACAATTGTTGCCATCTTGGATAACTTTCATTTTGAAATCTCTGATGTTAGTGTTCATGCTGATGTTGATGTTGATGAAGAGAACAAGAATGAAAACGAGAATGAAAACGAAAATGAGAATGAGGGCGAAACAAATATTTTATCAACTAAAATTCATGATACCATATTAAATCGCTTATTTCCTGAGCTTAAACAATATTTGACCAAATGTGATAATGAAACAATTATAATTAGAGTGCCTATAGCATTATCCATCACCAAGCTTTTAAAAGCTTTACCAGAAGTATCACTTCGTCGTAATTTGCCAGGGTTGCTTACCACAATTTGTCAGATGCTTAGGATTCGTCAACAAGAAGTTCGTGATGTTACGCGCGGCACTCTTATCAAAATTTCTAGTTACCTCGGTTCTACATATTTTTCTTTTATTGTTAAAGAATTAAAAGCTGCGTTGACTAAGGGATATCAATTACATATTCTTGGATATACCTTAAATTCATTGTTAGTAGATCTGATTCCTAACCTACAAGTGGGGGAAATAGATGATTGTTTACAACCAATAGTTGACATTATAATCAATGAAGTTTTTGGGGCTGTAGCTGAAGAAAAAGATGCAGAAGAAATAACCGGAAAAGTAAAAGAGATGAAGACAAACAAAAGTTTCAACACTTTTGAACTTTTAGGTAAAATTATAGAATTTAAAAATATAGGAGTTTTGTTGATTCCGCTTAAAGAAGTGCTGAGAGAAACTCAGAATGCAAAGGTTCTTCGTAAAGTTGATGATCTTTTACAGAAATTAGCAATTGGATTGAATTCAAATTCAAAATTTGATAATGAAGAAATGATAGTATTTTGCCGTGGACTTGTATCAGAGAATCTTGAAATTTCGAAATCAAGTTTGAAAGTCAAAACTCGTAAAAGTGACATGGAAATAAATTATACTGTTCAGCTTAATCGTAATATGAATAATCCTATGGATTACTTTGATGTGAACTCATACAGATTTGTAGAATTTGGATTGTCGATATTTTTAGCAGCGCTAAAACGCAACAAATTTAATACAAGTTCAGAAGAGCAATTGAAAATGATAGAACCATTGGTGAGGATCATTGGAAATGCAATGTGTTCTAAGCACCAATCAATCAACATTTTTGCAATAAAAATAGTTTGTATTTTTTGTAAACTTAAATTAAAATCATTGGAATCTGATATGCCAGCGATTATAAAACAAACTTTTGTTCTTATAAGATCTTCAGATAATACCAGTACAGAATTAGTGCAAAATTGTTTTAAATTACTGACAGTAATAATACGTGATTGTAAAAAAATCGAATTCAAAGAAAGTCATTTAGCTTTTATTATTGATTTGATTAAACCAGATATTGAGGAACCTCAAAGACAAAGCACAACATTTTCACTTATTCGTGCGATAATATCACGTAAATTTATAATGCCGGAAATTTATGATTTGATGCAAACAATTTCTGAAATAATGGTTACAAGCCAAGCAGCTATGACTAGAGACCTATCTAGACAATTATTGTTCCAATTCTTAATGGATTATCCTCAAGGACGCGGCAGATTAAAAAATCAAATAAATTTTTTAATAAAAAATCTTAATTATACTTTTGAGAATGGTAGATTATCAGTGATGGAAATGCTCAATTTAATATTCACCAAATTTAGTAATGACATTTTAATGGAATACGCGGAATTATTTTTCTTGGAGTTGGTCATGTCATTGGTGAATGATGAATCGGATAAGTGTGGTGAAATGTCTAGTGCTTTAATTAAATTATTATTAAAAAAAATGGATGAACAACGGTTAAAGAATGTTTACGTTTTATTAAAGAAATGGTTTGACCAGTTGGAGAATAAAAGTTTGCAAAGAATGTCACTTCAGGTTTATGGATTGGTCATTGAAGCTTTTGGTGATAAATTTAAAAAACATATTCCTGAATTGCTGGAAATGCTGGAAACTTCCTTGAACATAAGTTTAGAATTATTTGAATCCACAACAGCTGTTAACGAGTCTAACGGTGATGATAGTATGAATATTGATATTGATATTGATTGGGAAGTTAGATATTATGCTTTAAGTACATTTACGAAACTTGTAAAAAGCTTCCCTTACGTTGTTTATTCCGAAAAAACAAAAATTATCTGGTCTCTAATTGACAAACATATTCTTTATCCACATGTATTAATTCAACTTTCATCAAGCAAATTGCTTGGAACCTATTTTTCAAATATTAATCCAGAGACCATGATTATGGCTGGAACTAATATCAAATGCGATTATTTAGACAGAAATACACTCAAAAAACTTGCTATAAAATTTAGTGATCAGCTAAAAAATGAATCCTTAGGAAAGGAGTTGGCAACACAAATTGTAAAAAATTTGCTTTTTATTGGTAAATGTTTTTATTATTTAAAAGATGATATGATTGATAATGATGTGGAGATAAATCATGATGATTTGGATAAGAAAGAGGAAGATAACGATGATGATGACGACGACGACGACGACGACGACGATGATGATGATGATGAGGATGAGGAGGAGGAGGAGGAGGAGGAGGAAAAAATTGAAATTGATAAATTGACCATTAATGCTGAGGACAAAAACAATACGAAAATTGACCATGATGAATCGAATAAAAAAGATGAAAATTTAAAACCAACTTTGTATTGGTTATTTAAAAGGCTATCATATCAAGTTAGATTTGCCTCATTAAAACCTGATGATACAGATTTTCAGGTAATTTATATTTTAATTGCAGCTGGAAAATAATTAATCAACTAATTAAATATTTTAAATATTTGTTTGTTTGGGTTTGGTTATTCTCCTCTTTTACAGAGATTAAGTATTTATCAGTGGTTTGCTGCAATGGCAACATCAATAGCACCAGGAGACTTAGTACCTTATTTAATTATTATGATTTCTCCATTATATCGATTCATCAACGATGAGACAATTAAAGGACAAGAAATTGGTAGTTATTTTCAAAAACATATGCATTATATTTTATGCTGGTATAACTACCTACATTATGGCTATATTATTGATCATTTTATTTAAACCAATCTTTATTTTAATAGATAATATTAAACAGCTTGGAAAGGAAGTTCTTGATTTAATACAAAAACAAGTTGGAGTGACACAATATCATAATTTTTATAATAAAATCAAAGAAAATATTATGAAAGTAAGAAGAGAACGAAAAAAGAAAAAAGTTATGATGGTAATATATGTTTATATTTATTTATTTATTTATTTATTTAGATTTATATTGATAATTTTTCAAATTAATAAAATAATAATAATATTATTATTATTATAAGGCAATAATTGATCCTGAATATGCAGCAAAACGTAAAATAAAAAGGAACGAAATGAAAAAACAAAATCGTAAACGTAAAAATGCAGATTTTGCAAAGCAAAAATTAAGATTTGGTGTTACTAAAAAGAGAAAAACAAATTAATTAATTTTATTATTATAATTAGATTTGAATTTTAATTTACTTTTTAAACAATAGTACCTTTATTTAGTTGAATTCATAGTAGCGAGAGAAAAATAAAAAACAATCGATGTAATAAGTTAATTTTTAAAAGTCAATGAATATATAAATTACTTTTGTGTCTACTAAACTTATTGTAACATCCAATTTATCACCTGATAATGTTTTAGGTGAAGGTAAAGTAAATGATTGCTGCTGATTTTTATTCCATTATGAGATTACAAAAGATCATTAAATCAATCTTGTCCTAATACTAATATAATTTACTTACTACTACACTAGTTGATGATGTAGTGGTAGTAATGATGTCTGACGAAACTTTTGACTTTAGTCATTGACGTAACTAAAATATTGTCTAAAGGTAGTTTCTCACCAGGGCCATTTTGATGATTTGACATAATTAAAAACCCTTGACGTAAGTAAAAACGCTTGATACAAGTAAAGACACTTGATACAAGTAGCAATAATGATAATGATAAAATAGGTTTATCAAAAGTTTAAAAATGTGTGTCCCGGGGATTATTGTATCATTGTATGTGTATTGCAATGATGCAAGAAGAATAATTATCATGGGAAAAATTTACTTAAACTACTTGTTTTTTCCATATGTTTTCTTTCAAAATAAAAATTCCTCTTCTTTTTTTACAAATTAAGACTATTCTTTTATTAATACATTTCATATAATCAAATTGTCTTTACATACTTTTGAGTTGTGTTAAATTGATGTTTTGAATTCTGGAGTTAATTACGCGTAATAGTAATATGTAATAATATTAATAATGTGCTTAGATTGTCTTTAGTGTCTGAGTTTGAAGCAACATAGGTTGATCAATATTGGTACTTGGTACATATTTTTGTAAGTTTTAATTTTGTTTTCTATTTTTATCACTTTTAAACGCTGATATTCTTTATTGTTGAATCATGATAAATCGATCACTAGAGCTTGGTGATGATTAAGTTGTTCTTTAAAATCATACATTTTCGCTTTTCAATTTACATTCTTATCAAATTTAAAAAATGTTTGTACGAAAAAATTGTTAAATTCTCCGCAAAGAAAAAGGAAATAATGTAACCAATCGTTATTCTCAAAAAATCACCATGTTCATATTGATATTAAAAACACCAAGTTGAATTTTATATTTTATATCTTTATATAATGTCGTATGCTAAACTATTATCATCATTATCACAAGAAAGAAAGGAATTTGTATATAAAATTTATATTGAAATTCTTAATAATGCAGTAGTTAATTCTGATATAGAAAGTAGAAAAGATTATTTTTTTTCATTAGTCGAAGAAAACAAGGAGCTTTCTGAAAATGAAAAAGAATATTGTAAGGAAAAGTTTAATTATGAGTTTGAATTAAGGAATGCAAGAAATAAATTAGGGAAACCAAAAGAATGTAACAAGTGTAAATTGACAAGATATTCTGATAGGTTCTGTGAAGGTTGTATCAGTTTACAATTACAGAGTCTTTTCACCACTTGGACATCTGGAAATAACATAATTGATGA